GTTTATGTTGGTTACCTCATAAAATTATAAATATTATTGTGAACCATTACATAAGTACATGGTTGATAATTGTATCTTATTAATATTATCGTTTTATGTCTCATAAAGGTTTATACTTTCCAAAATTTATACAACATTAACTTCATATTAAATATAATATTATTATTGTTAACTTATATAGTTTTTAATATATACATTTGGAGAGTATCAATGGCGTCATAGGTAAAAAATTTCATTTTGTTGTGATATTTTATAACTCTATATTGATAAAATAAGTATTTTAACAGATTTTGTTTATTATTATTTTTTTGCATGGTTCTGTATATCTTTAAAATTTTCAATTGAGGTTTCTATAACCTTTCTAACTTTTGATTTTCCAATTTATATACTTTTTTACCATTCTTTTTATAATTATTTTAATTGATATTTTTTATTCTGTATTATTTGTTTCTTTTACGTCTTTTATATTTCATCTTAAATTTTGTTTCTTAATTAGTATGGATAATATTAGAAATTTTAATTTTTATTATTTGATTAGTAACTTGACAACTAATTTCTATTTGAAATCTTCGTTTTCTTAATTAATTTTAAATTTTAACACATTCATCATCTGATCAATATTAGATACATGTCGCGATCTCGTGAATTATAATTTTGCTTACGTGTCATGCTCATATAAAAATACATTACGATAAATACTTTTGATTTTAAAATATGTATCGCCTGTAATTTGACAAATGTAATTGATTCTACATTACGACTTGCACAAATATTTAATATTTATTTTATTATTATATACTTTTATGTTTTATTAAATCGTTAATTTATTATATCTATCTCATACTAAAATTGTCTTATACACGTTATTATATTAGTAAAATGACACTTATAATATCATATCTCCTTCTAGTCTTTAACTATTTAAATAATTTCAAATGGAAGGAATATATTTTGTATTATAACAATTTAGAAATATTACCTATTTTAGTATGATAGTTTTTTTCTTTTTGTTAATTAGTCTATAATCTTTGTTTAGAATATATTTTTTATTTTAATTTTTAAAATTTTATTAATATTAACACATGTCACAATCTAAATTAACAATTTTGTGAATCACTTATGTTTTCTCTTTTTATTTATTTATTGTTTAACTTAATGGAAATTTTTATTTTTTTTTATGTTTTGTCACTTTTTGGTTTACGATTTTTTTTTCCTATTTTCTATTTGTCGTTCTTTCTTATCTTGTAATTACTTATTTTTTTATTTTTGAATGATTTATGTTTTGGTATTTTTCTTGATTTTGTTTGATGTGTTTGGAAATTTTGTATTTTATGTTATGACATTTTTTTTAAAAACGTTTTCCCTTTTTTTCTTTTTTTTTTGTTAATTGACACATGTCATCAACTCATTAATAGTTTATATAATATGAGTCCTATAAAAAATAAATCTTAATTTTCTTAATTATTTTAAGTTTTAACACATTCATTATCTGATCAATATTAGATGTGTATCGCGATCTCGTGAATTATAATTTTGCTTATTTGTCATGCTTATATAAAAATGCATTACGATATATACTTTTGATTTTAAAATTTGTATCGCCTCTAATTTGACAAATGTAATCGATTCTAAATTACGACTCGCACTTATGTTTTCCCTTTTTATTTATTTATTGTTTAACTTAATGAAAATTTTTGTTTTTTTATGTTTTGTCACTTTTTGGTTAACGATTTTTTTTCTATTTTCCATTTACGTTCTTTCTTATCTTTTAATTACTTATTTTTCTTATTTTTAAATGATTTATTTTTTGGTATTTTTCTTGATTTTGTTTGATGTTTTGGAAATTTTGTATCTCTTTATGTTATGACAATTTTTTTTTAAAACGTTTTCTCTTTTTTTTCAAAGAAACCTTTTTCTTTGTTATTTTTTTATTAATTGACACGAGTCATCATCTCGTTAATAGTAGACACATGCCGCGATCCGGTGAGTTACAATTTTGTCTACGTGTCAAGCTCTCATCGTGCGCATCCTCCTTTATATAATAAGATATGCTTACTTGCTTAGTCACCAAGTTATTATCATTCTTTAAAAAAAAAATATATATATATATATGGATTCTATTTCAAAAGTGTGATATTTTTGTTAAGTGGCATTTGAAAAGTGGATTTTTTTGAAATTTCTCAAAAAAAAAGGAAAAATTTGCCAAAATACAAGAAAAAATTATAATTTGAAAACTAACAAAAAAACCCTAAATCCAATGGTCTAAAAATTGCCACATACCCCA